CTCGCCGCTGTAACTCCACATCGAGAGACTCCCACAGGATGACCAGGGTGGTCTCTGCTTGTAGCTACGGGCTGGCCCTTCAATTCAAGCTACACAGCAAGCTCCACCTCTCAGCAGTAGTCCAGCTGCAGCGCATGGCGCAATCTCGCTCTCAATCAGATGCTTCGCTCTCAATTTCACCAATATGCTGTTATGAGGATGCAGAAAGCGTAGCGGGTTGATGTCAATGTCAACATATAGTCTAGACGTGTGGAGCCTTTCTTTTTCTAGCGCTCAATGGCGAAGATTTCCCCCTGCAGGAATCCTACATGGTTCTGGATCTGGTGGGGGTTGCGAGCGCTCTTTTCATCTAGTGGTTGACCTAACATATGCTCCTTGCAACTACAAATGCTTATGTTTTGATTGCTTTTGGTGCATCAAACGCTATAACTCTCAAGTACTCTATCTCTCGGGTGAAAGAGCTTGAATCTCATAGCACGACGACGTGCACACCCCCGCAATACCTCGGGCTCTGCACAGGATCTGAAGCGTTTGACTTGTCCTTGGCAAAGCAAAGCAATGTAAACACAGTGATGCTCTGCAGCTCAAACCACCTAACGAACGGTTCGGTGTCTTGTCCACATATTCAGTAAACTCAAAACAACTTGCAACCACAAGACGTGCAGTGCAGAGCACGGTTGGGTCGTACAATAATGCATTCGTTCCGTTGGTATCCCATATTTCTTATCAAGCTTCACACCCCTCCGGCGTGACAAACGAGGCCGCCTCAACCATGACACTGCTGTTACGCGATGTCATATTCCCAGGGGAGTTGCACCGCTGCACTACGCTACAACATCTCTAGCCACACGAAAAAGAATGAGTGCACACATATAACAGCGATGGCGCTCCATCGAAGCTGATATGTGTTCCACCTTTCTTGCGCTAACCGAACAACCCTACTGCTACCGTCAACAAAAAATAAAAAAAAACGGGCACGTGGATGATGGATCAACACCACTAACACCTCATGAAAGACGATTTTTTGTCGTCTGTCACCTATCCTTAGCCTTACCCAGGAAAAATATACCAAAACGCCTCCAACGGCAGAGGGCACCTTGGGGGTATTTACAATGCTGGTTATATGCGCCGGTGTCATATGCACTCATCGACAGATGGCGAAGGAAGAGGTGAAACGTTGCCACTCTCAACCTAGCCATGCATCTCACAAGAGTCATAAGAGGCGCGCCAGCCTCTCCGTGCCAAAAGGACTCGCATCCACGCCCAAAACGAACGAAACCACCACACCCAACCCGCCTAGACCGCAACCTATCCAACCCAAACGGAAGCTGTTTCTCTGCATATATCGGACCCTGTGGGAAACTCACGTCGACCGCATGCCATGTACAGGCCCCACCCCACACTATACAGATTCACGTCCTTACCAAAACCAAGATCCGACCAACAGATCCTATGAACACCCACACCGTCATACTGGGAGTCCATTCCATACTCTGGTCGACTACTTTGTGGACATCCGGTTGGTCTCACCCATTTCTGCGAGGGCGCCTCGACATCGCCGCCATCGGCGGCCAAACACCAAAAAAACTTGCACGATTTGCCCGTCTGCCTCGCGACAAAACCTCTCTCCTACTCCGCACCAAGTCCAGCAGTATCAGGAATGCGCAACTAGAACATAAAAATGAAAGAATATTACGTGTGACTCTTCTACATCGGGCAAGACAATCAACCGCCGAAGAAACAAAGGGATCCTCGACTGGATGTGTCTGCGCCAATACATTTGGTCTACTCGGAATGTGCCCCCATGGACCTCTCGCCGCCGCTTAAGAGCCAACGTCTGGACGTTTGATATAATGGAAACCACGTATCAGGGGCCATGTCCGCTTGCTTGTACCGCCCCTTGCCCTGTCTAAGTCTATGTTTCAGAGTTCATCTCAAGCCAGAATCTGGGGCACATGAAAAAAAAAAAAATCTTTGGCGCCTCTCTCTCTCTCTCTCTCTCTCTCTCTCTCTCTCCTTCGACCAAATTGCGGAGGGGAGGGAAATATAAAGTGCGCGTGTCTCGTCAACCATACCATCTCCAGCGACGGGGAAACGATTCATACCCGGCAGTGAAACAACTTCCTGACCATCATTCCCCAAGTGATACTCAACGAAGAGGCATGTGTCCTAGCAAAAATCTTCAAGAGGCACCCGTCGCTAAATACAAGTACACCTCATGAAAAACGGGCGCCACTTGCGATCCCCTTCCAGCGGCACCACCGTAACACATGGGCAAACCACACAGATTTCCTTCACTCCGAACAGAGAAGAAAGAAGGAAAGCACAAACGAATTGCCTCCTCGACAACTCGCTGCCCAAGCAGACTTGTTATTTTCCCAATACCGAGTGGATGGGATATATGCGTGTACGCTCTGTATTGCCCCCTTTCTTCAGTCTCTCCGACGGATAAATGACCCAAACGCACATACCCCGGTCGGGGGGGCAAATAGACAGCGCCCGCATCAGCAAATCAACCGATCCATGGCCTCGAACCGTCAAACTGTGTACACGAGAGCCCTCCGGAGATACTCGAAGTCAAATGTACACGTACGGCACCGCATGAATCCAAAATTTACCTCTAACTACATGTGGAACGGATGCCCTTCCCTTCCCTCGCCCCCCGCTCGTTTTTCCAACCCTATCTACTATCTACCTGTTTCGACTCGAGCACGGTTCGGGTTCGCCGTCACCTCTTGCCAAAAGGTCACGGACAAAACGACAGCAAACCTTAAGCGGCAACCGATACCCGCTTGTCCTCGTCAACCCCGCCGTCGAACACGGGAGGCGGGGCGCCAGACAGGGTGGCGGCCGGCGCGGACGCGCGGACCGAAGCGCGACCCTCCGAGGGCCAACACCTGCTACCGCTGCCGTTGCTGTCGCTGGATGGGCCACCACAGCCGCCCCTCCACAGCGATGACGAAGGCGACGGCAAGAACGCGCCAGTGCGGGCGACTTCGACCGCTACTCTCGAGGAGTCGTAAGAGTTGCCGCCGAGGAGATGATGGACGGCGGCCGCGGCCGCCCTCTTGGCGTAGACCGTCGACCCGGGGATGGAGCCCGAGCCAACCCCGGCCCAGTTGCCGTACCTGCAGGGCGTCCATATGAGGGAGGGGATGGGCCAAGTTCTTGGATGCAGACTCGTGAAACTTGACGCAGATTCGTGAAACTGCGTTATGCATGGAGCGGGGTACGTTTGATGCTGCTTGCGCTGGTTGGCTCAAACCTAGTTAGGATGTTTATCGATGACACACTGTCGGGGGAACTGGGCAGCCATCTGTGCAAAAGAGCGTGGAGGGGAGTGCGAAAGGGTCCATGCGTTGATGGTGCATGTGGAGAACGCTCGTGTCATGCCGCGAGCTTTCAAACAGCATTAAAACAGACAAATCACTGTCTTCTGAAAATACCGTGAATCCGGAAACTGGACCCTGTCCTTCCAAAACATCCTCTGCGTCACCCTGTCAGGGGAGCCTCACAGCAGCTAGACACCATTCATGTTTGCGCTTTTCTTGTCCCGCTACAAGGCTGACGTCTGTCCATTGATCAGCCGGTTAGCGCGGCCCATGCCCATCCATCAAATACACGCCTTGGACGCCTTCGTTCGTTGGCCAACGAGGGCGCGCGTTCGGTTCAAAACAACAGAGGCCCACTCACGCACATAGAGGTCGGCCGGTTTGCACGGTCGATTCCGACAAAGAGACATACACACACGGCAGAGAGAGAACAACGAGCACACAAACACAACAAAAAACTATAAAAACATCAAGAAGACTCACCCCACAGCGAACACTCCCGGGACCTCGGTCTCCCCCATCTCCCTCCCGTCCATGCCCACCGTAGAGTTTGGGCGAACGAGCCCGAGCCGCGACAGGTGCGACGTGTTCGACCGGTAACCGGTGCACCAGATTATGGCGTCTACATGTGCGTGTCCGCCCGGGATGCTCCCGTCTTCGGACGCCTCCCACGCGACCCCCGTGGGCGTGAGGCGCGCGAGCTTGGGGACGCGCTGGTCGTATACTCCTCGCTCTGCCGCCTCTATTACGCCCGGCTGCATGATAATGCTGGAATGGAGGGGGTGCAACGAAGGGGTCGCGGGCACGCCAATTAGATGTACACGTCGATGGCGCGTTCGGGAGATGAGGGTAGCGATTTTTCGTAAAGATGAACGGACGCATCATCGTCGGCTTTATCATTGCGTGTCGAGGACTGGCTCTTCTCTTCATCATACCGGCACGTTTTACGGGAGATGGAAGAGGGGGAGGCGAGGTCCCTTCCAGTATCATGACACGTTGGTCCACAACACTATACTTGGATCGCAAATTGGAGGGGGTGCTTCAGTGCTTCATTCTTCTTGGCAAAAAACAACGCAGAATACACCCTGCGCTATTCGTACAACTGTCCGCGTGGTTGAGTTAATCGTTGGTTCCCACCTGTGAAGGGAGGGGATGTCTTCCTCTCGCACGAAGCCTTGCTGTTGCCTCAGCCGAGCAACTGTCACCCGAAAAAGAGAAAGTAGGTGACGGTGGGGGGAGCAAATGGGGGAGGTGTGAAAGGCCAAGGGGCGTGCGACACAGCCATCATCGGTATTGAAAGAGGCAGGCGTCATGCCGGGAAGGACAGTGCGTACCGTGCACGCTCATGGCAGTGGGGTTTGGTTGGCGTCCTTCACGCTAGAACAAGAAAGCATGTACTTCAGTTTCAGTAGTACCTCTTCAAGCACGATTCCTCCGATTGCTAGACGAGGGAAGATAATTCCCCGGTACTTACATACTACAGCAGACATTTATTCCTTCTCTTACCCGTGTCGAAAATCTCCTTGCCCGAGAGCCCCATCGGCAAGAACGACGGCGCCGCCAGCGTCGACCACAGCGTCGATGATGCCACGCCAGGCGCGGATACCTCAGCCAAGATCTGGGCGCCGCTGTTCCCGGAGCCAACAACGGCCACCTTCTTCCCCCTGAAGTCGTCGGCGAAGCGGTACTGGCTGCTGTGGATCTGGGTGCCACGGAAGGTCTCAGACCCGGGGAGGCGTGGCCACAGCGGGGACGCGTGAGTACCGGCCGCTGTGGGGGGGATCGGCGGGGCGGAGGAAGTGAGAGGGAGGAGAAAAGATGTGCAGGGTGGGGGTACAGTACTTGAAAATCCTCCGGAGGGATGTTTAGATTCTCTGCAACACACGGACGTACGAAATCAACGTTCTTGTCATGCACTTCGAGAGCGAAGACGACTCATGTCGTACCCTGACCGACTAAGGCGAGCACTATTGACGACACTCGCAGGCGCGCAGAGCACCGGGGACACACGCCATGCCACGGGTATTCTACTAGCGTTGGGTGTCTCAGTTCCTCACCCGCCCCCCCGGGTCAATCCTGCAGACCAGGGCAAGACGAAGATTGCAACTGGAAGATACATATGCACACACACAGCAAAAGGCACGTGTACATCCACGAAACGTGATTCTTGCGGAGACGCCCCTTTCTCACCGCTGATCACCGTGCGGGCCTCCCAGCGAGCGACCGTGCCGCCCAGCAAGCAGTCCGTCTCCACGAGAAACGTGCCCATCGGGGTCCTCGAGACTCCCGTGACGTTCACTGGGCGCACTACGTTAAGCTTCATGACAGACTCATACTCCTCCATGTACCTGTGTGTGGTGTACCAAATTGTTCGCGAAGCGGAGGTAAACGGATTTCAGGTGGACAAGGCGGAGTTCAGAGGGGGACGGGGGTCGCCACCGGGAAATTGTATCGGGGCCAAGGGTATCGGAATCAACACGGCATTCTTCCTTCAATCCGATGACGAGACCGTCATGGACAGTCAGGAGGACCAATCGCATTAACCCCAAAACAGTAACAGCCGCAACACACCACAGCAATCAAAAGTGTCTCACATGGCCATCTCTCCAGTAGAGGGGTAGCCGTCCTCGCAAGCCCCGTTCGCGAACATGGGATATCCGGGCAGCGAGCTCCACTTTCGTGTCGAGAACAGCTCCAGAGACGGCCAACGGTGTCTCCAAGCTCCCCCGGCCTCCTGCGAAAGGCGATTCCGGTTGAATTAGGCGGTCGCGAGGTGACAGGACGATCAAGACAGGGGGGGG